ATTGATTTAAAATTTTATAAATGACAATGTAAACTTCCAAGCCTACAGCCACCATATAGGAAGGAGAAAACAATCTTACAGCCAAAATTTACAAAAAAAATTGAAATTTCTATTTTAAAGTCAAGCTTAAGGTGCATTGTATCCCATTTGTCTTTGATACAACACTTTATAAACGAGAAGAGAACTGATTGACCAAGGAATAATTTGCTTTATATGACATATCAAACCCAGGACTCTTGCACTGATTCCAGAAACCACACTTCTAACTAGTAGCTTTAGTCTTTTGTTTTAGTTAGTAGAACTTCTGCAGAACAGTTTTAGGTTTGCAGAAAATTGAGCAGATAGTACATAGGTTGCATTTACCATGCTTCCACTGTATGAAACTTTATATATCTTATAATCATTAAAAATACTTTTTTCCTGAGGGTTATTTTGATATTATTTGTCTATATTTCTACATACTACATTCTATAGGTGACCAGAACTGTCTAGGAGGTAGATATCTAATAGTACCCTGAATATTAGTTTCCTAATATTTTACCAGGTATATGTGAGTTAACATTGTTAGTTTATGGTTTTATTTTTCTTTTCCTTTGTGTTAGAGATGGGAACTGGAGCCTTGTACATACTCTTCCCTACCAATGAACTCACTATTGTTAGTTTCTTTTGGTGTTTTTTTTGGTGTTTTTTTTTGGGGGGGGGTCAGTTGTGGACTATTGTTAGTTTTAAGAGAAATTTATTCTCTTGTATATCAGCTGGAAAAAATGTAACTGGTACATCAAATTCATGATTCCTTGTCCATCTTTGCTTATTAAGAAGATTATTTTAAAAAACACTGAAGTTGAAGTTACTTATCTACTATATACAATATAATGTAAAAGAGAAAGTTAATATAGAGATAAAAACATTGTAGGGAACTCGTTCTATTTTATTTCATCTTCATTGTTCATCTTCATTCTTTCCAATTTTTTTTTTTTTTGTCAGTCGTGGGGCTTGAACTCGGCTTGGGTGTTGTCCCTCAGCTCTTCAGCTCAAGGCTAGCACTCTACCACTTGAGCTACAGTGCTACTTCCTCATCTTCATTCTCGTGAGCAAGCATTGTTATTTTTCCACTGAACCAATAAACCAACACTTTCAAAGGTCCACTATTTTTAGTCTTTCTTAGCCAGTAGTAGACCCGAGATTCAAACTAACAATCTTTGCTTTCTGTTATGCTTTAGCTGACCTGCATTCCCTGCTTTCCTACTCTGGAATATTGCTTTTGTTTCTGTTTCATCATGTTTCATTAATGAGTTGTATAAAGGAGTTTTCATTTTGATATGTCTATCCATGCAAACAATGTACCTTGATCAGCCTCCCTCCTTGGTTTGCTTCCCAAACCAGTCTCAGCAAGCTTTGTTGTTCCATTTTCACACATGTACAGAAAGTAATTTGATTACATTTACCCTCCTTCACCCTCTCCGTTCTTCCTCTCCTTTCCTACTAGCACCTATTCCCGAGATGATTCTTCTTCTTCTTCTTCCTTCTTCTTCTTCTTCTTCTTCTTCTTCTTCCTTCTTCTTCTTCTTCTTCTTCTTCTTCTTCTTCTTCTTCTTCTTCTTCTTCTTCTTCTTCTTCTTCTTCTTCTTCTTCTTCTTCTTCTTCTTCTTC